CCATAACCTATTGTAATTAAACGATTTTAATATTAATTATCTAGTTTTATTGAACAGAACAAATCTACATTACAGCAGTGATGGCGCAGAGAAAAAGTAAAACAAAAACAACCTGTCATCTATCATTATATGGAACGCGTCAATTTCAAATTACTACAACAGTTATGTATATATGTAATTATAAATTATAAGCCCAGGTTTCCTCACGATGTATTCTTTTATCGTTTCTCAGTGGTGTCTAAATAATAGTAAAAAGTACATAAAACTCGGAAAATGTCAGATTCGAACACTGTCAAGCAAGAGAAGCGGGCGCCTTAAACAAAAATCTCACAAAACTATCAAATTTGACTGCTACAAGATGTAATGCAATGCTATAACAGCATGCAGTTGATATATTCAACGAGGTACATTTACCAAACAAATACTTAATGCATTCGCCTCTACGTAACCATCAGGGGAATTATAAGATCCAAAAAAGGACCTCACTTGAAGGTACCCACTTCATTTAGAAGTTCCCATGAAGAGTTCATTCCAGCACTAAAGGTGTATTTCCTCTACACGTTACTTGACCATGGTCCTCAAATAAACAGTGTGTACGCATTTTTTTCTGTTTATTTATTGTTTCTTATTAAGCTTAAACGTGAGAACGACCCCCGAAGTTACTAGCGTAATGATAACAATAGAAAGGGACTGTTTGGATGCGGTTGGGGCTATGAAAACGGCGAGCATGCATTTTTATAATTGAAAATATATATTATATCAATAAAGAATTACAACTTTATTTATTAAGGTCTTGGTCGCTTAACAAAATATAAGCATTGATTTTGTGGTGTCATTATCGGTTCAGTCATTAAAAGAAAGAGTTTAGACATATCCGGGAATATTTGACTAAACTTGTTTAAAAATCGCAACATCTCAGTCTTCGTTCGTGATGTTCGTCTTTGGTTGTCGTTCTTTGAGATGAAAATTTATTATTGTGGTTGTAAATTATTCTGCGTATCTTGGCTTACTTAGATATACGTAGTTGGCTTGTTCCATAAAATGCATCACTTAAACAAAGATTTGAAATCCCATCATCAAGAGCTTGTAACTGGTCACTGTTGACCAAATTCTTCTTCTCAAACGGAGAAGGTTTCATCATTAATCACCACGCTTGCTCAATCCGGAATTATAAGCCCAGATTTCCTCACGATGTTTTCCTTTACCGTTTGTCAGTGATGTCTAAAATATAATCTTGGAATGTACATATAACTCAGAAAAAGACACATTCGGACTTGCTGTTGGTATTTTTCAAACCCTCGCAATCATGCATGAAAAGCAGGCGTTATATTAGAAGCGGGCAAACAAAGATTTAATTAGACAAATATAATTATATCTCTAAGGTATTCAGCCAGTCGCGGGCCTCGAGAGTCAGAGATCGCGCCCGCCCGAACAGAACCAGAACCGTGCGTACGGGGCGTCGCGTTCCGCCCGTGCTTCAAAGAGCCATCAGACCACCACAGACGGGGCCCAGTAGGGTTAATGCCCGATACGGAGTCGTGGAAGGCATAACGGGTTGCCGGGGCTCCGACTCGAAGAGCGGGAGTAGGAACAGGGTGGTTTTTAGTCAGTAAGAGTCTGTCACTCCCTCTCGCCTCGCCTAAGGCGGGAGAATTTATTGGATGATTCTCCCCCATCAAAAAAAAAAAAAAACAAAAAAAGATATTCAGCAAAACACGTCCCCTGGTCTCCTGGCCATACATTAACGGTCATTTCGGTGGGAAAATGCCACTGTAATCTTTATTTATCGTTTGGCGCCCAAATTTGCTTTGTTTCAGTATGTCGTTCGCTACCCAATTTTGGTGCAATGCATGGGTTACGTTCATACGTTCAAATGACCAAGTTAACTGTTATTTGGACGCTCTGAGATACGAAGTCTAGCGAAGGATACTATTAAGATCCCTTCAAGATTACTGGGTGATGCGGACTAATGAGCTCAAATGACGGTCTTTTCGCTGTGACTTTTGGTCTTTTCGGAGTGTGAATTATTCATGAATGGGTTTTATGTGTCGGTTTAGAAATGAAGAGGTTGCATTTCTTTCCGCATTGTAATTTTTATTTTGCACTATTTTATGACAAATAGCTTCTGCCAGCGGCTTCACCCGTTTTCCCAGGTGTAAAAAGAAGCCTACGAGTTACTTCCGACCATAATCTACCGAGTATTGTGCCCTGGATATCAAAATTACAATTATATCAAGTTTGACTGCCTCATTGGACGAGTGGTCTCAAGTGCGACTGCCGGGCAAGGGGTCTCGGGTTCGATTCCCGGGTCGGGCAAAGTATGGTATATAAGTAAACCCAGTAAGTTGTTTTAAAAAATCACAGTAGTAGCACGGAGTCTGGAATTGTGCCCGGTATATGGTAATAGACTCACCCCTTATTACATGGGACGCATAGCATAAATAGTGAAAAGTGGGTGTTACATTGTACAGTGGCATAGTATACGCCTCTGCCTACCCCTTCGGGGATAAATGGCGTGATGTTCTGTTTATGTTTATGTTATATCAAGTTTCATTGTAGTCAGACCGGTTGTTTTTGCGTGATTTATGAACAAATAGACAGACAAAAAAAAAATTAATCA